TATATAGTATATAGTATATAGTATATAGTATATAGTATATAGTATATAATATATTTTTTATTATTGTGTTTTATAGGATGTTTTGGCTTTAAAAAAAAAAGAAAAAAAATTTTATTATCTCGTTGCCTGTTATATTGTTGTTTGGCAAATATAAATCGTTTCCGTGGAGTTAGATTTCCTCGAAAGCATAAATAAAAATATAATCTAAATAAAAGGTCTTTTCTCGAATTGATTGTTTAAAATGAGAAATTCTCCTAGTACCTTGAAATTTTTAAATAAGTCTTCCAGAAACTACGAAGTTCTTGTTATTCGAGAACGAAATATGTAAAAATCTCGGTGTGAAAGGGGCGCAGCACTGCGTTTTCGGTGGAAATGTTATGCAGAAAGGTCGAGGTATTCAAATATGCAAAAGAAAAAAATGTTGGAAGCATTGAAAAGAGTGAAAAATCGCTGCTGCATTAAAAGAAAGTTGTCAGTTGAATTAGTCAACCAAATGTAACTCGTCGAGAAATAAGATTCAATTGTCACGGGCAACATCAACAGCAGCTGTCTCGAACAGCAGTGAAATCTTCGTTGAAACTGAAATTGGAATAAAATTTACACCCTATGAATAAAGAAAGCTTCGTTACGCGCTCGTTTGTTATTCGTTTATCCGCTTCTTGATCGCAATTCCTCCTTGTTTACTCGCTGATTCGAAAGCAGAGTGAAATATTCGAAATTTTTCTTAGCGAAAATTTACCACTCTCCAGTGAACACTAAGCCGGGCGAAACTTTCACGTTCATTCAATTTCTGTAAGATGTCAGTTATATTAATTATATAATTAATTACAATATAATTAAAATATTGCAATTATATAAGGTAACCTAATCTAAACTTAATGTAAATCCAACCTAACCTAAATATCTAATGTAAATCTAACTTAACCTGACCTAAATATAACCTAAACCTAACTTAACTTAAATATAACCTAAATCTAACCTAATATCTACGATATACTCGCAAAATCTATAGTACAATATAATTTACCTAATATTATACTTAACTTAACCTAATACTATAACTTAGGTTAACACGTTCCGTGCCATGTGTACCACCGGTGGTACACGTTGAACTTGAACTCTTCACGTGTACTACCACATTTCTAATAATATTAATAATA